AAAAAAAAAAAAAAAAAAAAAAAAAGTAGGACCACAAACTCTAAGCCCCTTTAAACACAAAATACAGGATACAAACGTAATATGGCTAATCAAGGGTCTTCCACTACGTCTCTGGAGCAGGGAAGGCCTTGTCCTGCCTGGCCTTGCCTTGCCAAGGGTTAGCTCTAGTCCACTGAGTCCCCCTCCCTAGCATCCCTCCTGTCTCAAGCGTCATTGACCCTCAGGTCGGGGGACACCAGTGATGCTCGCCATGTCTCTGAAATACTTTCTTTTTGTTCATCTTTATTGTGCCTATAATACTTCTGTTTTCTGTTTATTCCCCTGACTTGAATCAGATGTCTGGGGAGTATATGAAGTTTCTTGTTTCCTCTCTATCACTATCTTCTGTCTAGAAACCAATCAAGCATCCTCTCTGACTCCAAACCTCTCAGTTATCTGTGGGAGGACAACTCGCAGGATTTGAGCAGTTTTCACTTTCATGGCCTAAAAGATAAGCCCTTCCATGTATAAATTCTGATTAAAGGCAACGTATTGCATTTACATTTTAGAGGGGTGAACACATTTTTTTCTGGGACTTACGTGTTTTGTTTCTTTGTTTTTTAATGTAGTTTGATTTATTTCTAAGAAATTACAGGATTGAAGAATGGCAACGAATATTAATAGCCTTTGAGAGAAAGTAGCAAAGCTTTCATAATAAGTCCCAGGACCATGAACTTCCATATTGCCCTAAATGCATTTTCAAACCTTGATTTCTGTGCCTACTCTATAAAAAACAGAAATCCAAGGTGACAAGATTCCTTATCTAAAATCCTAAACATGGCTGGGTGTGGTGGTTCATACCTGTAATCCCAGCACTTTGGGAGGCTGAGGTGGGTGGATCACTTGAGCTCAGGAGTTCAAGACCAGCCTGGCCAACATGGTGAAACCTCATCTCTACTAAAAATACAAAAATTAGCCGGGCATAGTGGTGCACACTTTTAATCCCAGCTACTTGGGAGGCTGAAGTGAGAGGATTGCTTGAGCCAAGGAGACGGAGGTTGCAGTGAGCTGAGATCTCACCACTACACTCCAGCCTGGGTGACAAAGTGAGACTCTGTCTCAAAAAATAAAAAAATAGTAGCCAGGCGAGGTGGCTCAAGCCTGTAATCCCAGCACTTTGGGGGGCTGGGGTGGCCGGATCACGAGGTCAAGAGATGGAGACCATCCTGGCCAATATGGTGAAACCCGTCTGTACTAAAAAGACAAAAATTAGCCGGGCATGGTGGCTCACGCCTGTAGTCCCAGCTACTCGGGAGGCTAAGGCAGGAGAATCGCTTGAACCTGGGAGACGGAGGTTGCAGTGAGCTGAGATTGCCCCACTGCACTCTAGCCTGGCGACAGAGTGAGACTCTATCTCAAAAGTTAATAAATAAAAAATTTAAAAACTATTTTTAAAATCCTAAACCAAAAAAAAAAAAAAAAATCCTAAACATTCTCATTCCACAGGATGCTGCAAACTATAGATCTCAAACTTGGAAGTTCTGGGAATTCTGCCAGTATCCCCAAGTAAATCTCTTGGGAAGTTCAGAATGCCGGCTGGCGTAGCTGTGCCTACTCTTAAAGAGTGGTGCAGACTCTGATTCTCCATGTCTGCTAAGTAAAATATTCCAAACACAGATCCCAGCCTTATCTAGTGAATGGAATCATCGCTCTGTTTTTACATTTTCTTTTGGCCTCAAACTTTAGAGCTATATCATGTTAACGGTTTAACACCAGAGGGGAAAGCTATTCTTAAACTACTCAAACATGGTTCTTTTTCTATTTTTCAGGCTCCTGAAACAGGCTATTCTTTGCCTTTTTGCTGCAGTTGGAGAAGAAACTGACTTTGAAAAATGCCTGTTACGCAATGTTGGAGACATGGTGAAATCAGCCAAGGATTTCTTCTTCATTCAAGATGAATTCTCTTCACAGAGGAATATAGTGTTCAGCAAAAAGACCTCCACCAAGTCAGAAAGAAACTAAGACATTTCTGTTTCTATTAGAGTTTACATTATTTCTACCGCTTACACTTTAGAATGTTTACTTTATGGGGACTAAGGGATTACAAGAGTGTGAACTAAAAAGTAACATTTTCCACTCTCAAGTTTTCCACTTTGTCTTTGAACTGAAAATAAACATGGATCTAGAAAACCAACCAGCAACTTTTCAGTGCCAGATAAAACTCTGCACTCTAGAGGTAACTGCTCATGAGAAGCAGCTGAAAGTGTTACCTGACACCAGTTTCCTAGAAAACTGTGAACGCAACCAAGCTTTTTAAACGTGACTAGAAAAGCAATAACACATAGAGAAATATCTGGTCCATCGAGAAATCTTCTGACTGTCAGGGATGCCTTGTAAGATCTCTTGGAATGAAGTGCACTGTGTATCCAGAACTATTTTCTTTCTTTTTTTTTTTTTTAGATGGAGTCTCACTCTGTTACCTAGGCTGAAGTGCAATGGACAATCTTGGCTCACTGCAAGCTCCGCCTCCCAGGTTCATGCAATTCTCCTGTCTCAGCCTCCCGAGTAGCTAAGATTACAGGCGCATGCTGCCATGCCCAGCTAATTTTTGGTATTTTAGTAGAGACAGGGTTTCACCATGTTGCCCAGGCTGGTCTCGAACTCCTGAGCTCAGGCAATCCACCTGCCTCGTCCTCCCAAAGTGCTAGGATTACAGGCATGAGCCACCGTGCCAGGCTATCCAGAACTATTTTCCAGCACCAGTGAAGTTGCTATCTCTTACCTAAAACAAATGGGTTTATGCTAGTTTCTTCCACCGAGGAATGAATCTCAATGGCCATTAAACTCACTAAGGCCCACAGGGCTAGGAAAAGTAGCTCTTAAAGGTCAGGTGTTTGGAAAATGTTTTTCCTTTTGCCCAACCCTTAATCCATAGTAGAGAATGTTCTGTGGCCTGTTCCCCCGCCCGGGTTTTCCTGACCCTTCTTTGTTTTCCAATTTTTCCTACAATAATATAAAATTGTGTAAAAGTTAAAACAAAACCAAGGATTCAGGAAGAAACAAGCAGTGATTGTCCTCTAGGCAGTAAGTAAAACAGCTACCATAAATATCGTAGATGCCCCCAGGCACATCCTGCAGGATCTTTCCTGCCTCCTCTTGTCCCAAACCCTCCAGTGACCCTACTCAGCCACCGCTCAGCCCATAATGCATCTTTATGCACAATTTGTCCCAAAACACTGTTTAGTAGCTCAAAAGCCTCCCACTCAAAAGCTGTCCATCCCAAGAATAATTTCACTTGGCAATTCTGAAGTGTCCTTCCCATCCCTGACCTTTATCTGGGACTACACCTCTCTAAATATACAGTTAACCGGTGTTTTACGGTATATTTGGAGAGATGTACTCCCAAATACAAGGAGTACCCCTCTCCCTTTACAGTAAATTTGCAAACCCTTAAAATCTTCAAATAGATGTATACGTTGAAACAGTATATATTCCACTCAGAAAGCGGTCTTTTTTTGTTGTTAATTTTTTTATTTATTTTATTTATTTATTTCGAGACAGGGTCTCACTCTGTTGTCCCAGTGGCGTGCAGTGGCACAATCACGGCTCACCATAGCCGCAACCTCCCAGGCTCAGGTGAAGCTCCCACCTCAGCCTCCTGAGAAGCTGGGACTACAGGCGCACCCCACCCCACCAGCTAGTTTTTGTATTTTGGTAGAGACAGGGCTTCCCCATGTTACCCAGGCTGGTCTCAAAGTTTGGGGCTCAAGCAATACGCCTGCCTCAGCCTCCCAAAGTGCTGGGATTAGAGGCTTGAGCCACCGTGCCTGGCCATGAATTGATTTTTAAACAGTTGCCTTCTGCTACGCACGCTTTTATGCTTTTCTCTGCATCGAAAGGTTAATTTTCTATTTTTGAAAATGTTTTTACAAAAAATATTTTCGAAATCTCCATTCAAAAAGCTTTAGCCTACCTAGGGGCTCCTTTCCTTACCTACTTTTACCAGGAAACTCATCAACTTAAAAAGTAAGCCAGCATCCTGCACACCAGTCCAGGTGCTGCTGCAAACCACAAACTGTTACCTGTCGTGTAGGCTCATTTGAAGTCTTCTGGGTGTCATAACTTGGGCTCTGATTGATTTGTTTTTGCTCATTTACTACCCTACTGATGGTAGAGTGTATTTAACTCCCGCTGAGTGATCTACAGTCTCCACCAAGAAGAAAGGTTAATTAATGGGCTTATCAACTCCTGATGACTTGAAGCATTCATAGAGAAAAAGAAGTATTATTATGGGGATTATTGGGAGGAGCCGGTTATCAACCATCTCTTCTAAGGCCACAGCATGAGAAAAGAAAAATCACATAAACTTTGGCATGGTGGGTTAGAGTTAGAAGTCTTCCCCAAGAAGGGTGGATATTGATTTCTTTCTGCCTTTAATTGAAATGTAAAAAACTACCAATAGGCCAGAGATGGTGAGTGGCCCCAGTTACCCACTGTGGCACACAAATGTGTGATCATGCACCCTCTCTGCTTGAGAACTGGCAGTAGCAACACCTGCCAAGGTTAAGTCCCAGACCAGAAGAATCATCTGTGAAAGCTGCCTGAAGAACACACTCTAGGAATTAACTGAGGAAGAGATGAATCAGGACTTGGGAAAACAGCAGCAAGGCAATGAGCTGACCTGACCCATTCATTCATATTCTCTTTCTTTGGTCTTTTTTTTTTTTTAGACAGATCTTGCTCTGTCACGCAAGCTGGAGTGCAGCGGTGTGATCGCAGCTCAGTGCAACCTCCATCTCCTGGGTTCAAATGATTCTCCCGCCTCAGCCGCCTGAGTAGCTGGGATTACAGGCATGCACCACCACGCCCAGCTAATCTTTGTATTTTTAGTAGAGACTGGGTTCACCATGTTGGCCAGGCAGGTCTCGAACTCCTGGCCTCGAGCGATCCATCTGCTTCAGCCTCCCAAAATGCTGGGATTAAAGGCATGAGCCACTATTCCCCGCCTCACTAATATTCTTTTTATTCCTCTATTTTCAGGGTTATTTTGTCTGTTTTAAATAGAATGTGTAATTTAATACACTTAAAGCTATAAGGAGTATTTTTCACAATCGATTTTTAAAGAGAATCCTAGTTCCCGCCTATCTGATAGTAGCCAGGGTTTTGTTTGTTTAACTAGAATGTGCCCGGCCTGTTTTTATCATAATTTACACATGCCACGATCTTATTTGTGGACATGTGTAAATTATGTTAACTTACCTTATATATTCCCAAAAAAATCCACAAACACATATTTATACATTGCTTTTGGGTGTGTTCATACAAGGGAGTAAAAATGAACTAGTGAGTGCGCTCTTACAGCATTCGTTACAAATCTATAATCCATATCCTCTGAAAAAGTCAAGAATTATTACAAAACAGTTGGTCAATAAACAGATCTTCATGTAGTCCTGTAAACCCTAGTGCCGCCATACACAGAGAGACCCCAAAACTCTAATAGCTACACTTCAGAACACCAGAATGAACTAGAATTCAGGAGTCCATTTCCCCATTTGAATGGGGGGAAAGGTCACATCTTAACTATGGCTGTAATGGAGCATTTTCTTCGCTATGAGTGTCAGCAGCAAAACAGCAGTATCAACAGTGCTGTGTGTTTTTTGTTTGTTTTGAGATTGGGTCTCATTCTGTCACTCGACTGGAGTGCAGTCGCAGCGCACTGCAGCCTCGACCTCCCAGGCTCAAGCAATCCTCCCACCTCAGCCTCCCCAGTAGCTGGGACCACAGGCACACGACCACACCCAGCTAATGTTTTATTTTTTGTAAATACAAAGTCTTGCCACATTGTCCAGGCTGGTTTCAAACTCCTGGGCTCAGGTCATCATCCCACCTCAGCCTCCGAAAGTGTTGGCATTACAGGAATGAGCCACCGTGTCCAGTGGCTTTTATCGTTTTTTTTTTTTTTTTTCTTTTATGGTTTTTTTTCTAGCCACTAGACCACCAGAGAAACAGTACCTATGTCTTTGTCACCAATCATGGATATTTTAATATTACATGACAGTGTCTACAAATATTCACAGTAGCATTTATGCATCTCACTGCATTAAAATTATAGTAGTTATTGTATCTCCCACTGTCTGTATCACATGTAAATAAAGAGGCACATACATTGCTATAACCTAATGTGATATGTTTTCTATACTTTAATAATTGCATTTCAGGCTGGGCACAGTGTCTCATGCCTGTAGTCCCAGCATTTTGGGAGGCCGAGGGGGTTGGATCACTTGAAGTCGGGAGTTTGAGACCAGCTTGGCCAACATGGTGAAACCCCATCCCTACTAAAAATACAAAAATTAGCTGGGTGTGGTGGTGTGCGCCTGTAATCTCAACTTCTCGGGATGCTGAGGCAGGAGAATCGCTTGAACCCGGGAGATGGAGGTGGCAATGAGCTGAGATACTCCATTGTACTCCAGCCTGGGCAACAAGAGCAAAACTCCATCACCAAAAAAAAAAAAAAAAAAAAAAAAAAAAAAAAAAAAAAAAAAAAAAAAAAAAAAAAAAAAAAAGCATTTCACTATCATTGGTTTGTTTTATAATTTAAGTGTTTTTGTTTAAGCATTTAAAAAATATTCTGTCTGGCCACAGTGGCTCATGCCTGTAATTCCAACAGTTTGGGATGTCAAGGTGGGCTTGTAGTCCCAGCATTTTGAAAGGCCAAGGGAGGTAGATCACTTGAGGTCAGGAGTTCGACACCATCCTGGCTAACATGGTGAAACCCTGTCTCTACTGAAAATACAAAAATTAGCTGGGCATGGTGATGCGTGCCTGTAGTCTCAGCTACTCGGGACGCTGAGGCAGGGTAACTCGCTTGAACCCAGGAGGCAGAGGCTGCAGTCAGCCAAGATCACGCTGGCCTGGTGACAGAGCCACACTCCGACTCAAAAAAAAAAAAATTCTAAGAAAGAGTCCCTGAGCTTCAGCTGGTCCAAGGGCACCCGAGGCACATAAAAGGTTGGAATCCCCTGCTCTAGGGGAGATGCTAGTAGCCTGGGCCCTGGTTCTGTGACAGCATTACCTTGTCTCCGATGTTGCTACCTCTACATCTGCGCCTTAAGTCCGTCCCTACAGGTCCCTGATCCAGGGTGCCAGGTCTGCCTATAATAGAGTCTTGGTCTGTATGTAATGGTAACACAGGCA